AAGTAATTTGAAATGTATTTGTGCCGCTGGTGGAAGGTCAAAGCAATTACTGTCACGCTATCCTGGCTAATTTATTTTTTATATGGTTTTTCAAATTATGAATCTTAACGGAATGATTCCACCACATCCATTGATTTCTTGCACTCTTGGGGAAGCTTTACTAGTGCAGCAATCACGCGAACCCATTGCATTTTAAATGTCAACTCCCAGGGATTTGAATATATCGATTCAATAGTGGCAATGTTGCCACGGGTAACTCCCATACCATCCCATTCCCAACACCGTGTCATTCTGCTCTTTCTTGGAATTTACGACCCAACCCACACCTTCTCAGAAATGCGGGGGATGTGATAAGTCGTCTAGTGACTTGGACAAACAGTAGATAGTGACATGTGAGAAGGGACAGTCAGTCTAGAGACTAGTATCCAGTATCTAGTCTTTAGTCTGGCTGTTTATCAGTCTCGTTATCGCTGGGGACCCGAGAGACCTGTGGAAAATGCTGCAGCCCCATGTTTAGACACCCTCTCCCGATCTGACAGATTGCTGCATATAATTTATGTCCACAATGGGAACTCGACTGTTCAGTTAGCACTTGTCCAATATTTGCCTAAAGTCAGATTAAGTTTATTGACTCGAAAGATTTGAAATGTCGCTGTAGGCCAAAAGCAATATAGTTGCATGCCACTTGACCCGATTGGCCATATATGCGACATAGCCGGCTCATCCATCCGTCGATCAAGCGCATCCGTCAATCATGTGTCAGCGCTGCAATTGCCCGTAATTGATGAGCTCCTCCAACTTATATATATACCTGTGTATTGCATTTCAGACGGAGCAAATAAGACGGGCCAACCGCCTCTTCGCCTCGGACAGCCTGTTCCTGCGTCAGTTCCTGCTGGTCCCGGTGGAGAAGAACTCGCCCTACTATCCCCAGGTGCCTGGAGATTCGATAGCCGCCTTCGATGCCGTGCTGGCCACGCCGCCGGGCACTCCGGATGCTAATGGCCAGCGGGAGGCGCACAACAATGCCAATAATCTGAGCCAGAGCAGCAACAGTTTCATGAAGAGCAACGACATTAGCAGCAGCAGCAGTAGCAGCAGCAGCAGCAGCAGTGGGAGCAGCAGCAGCTGCAACACAAGTGGCTCCGGTCCCAGTCCAGGAGGATCGCGATCCGGCGGCAGCCAGCAGCAGCAGCAACAGCCCCCCCAAAGGCCCTACTCCATTGCCGGAGAGCTGCTGGTGGTGCAGGCCGGAGACGAGGATCCATCGATGATGCACGGCCACGGTGGATGCAGCGGAAAGCAGAGCAAGAGCCTGGACTCGGTGGCCGCAATGACGCCCGAGGAGGAGAACCGAAAGTGCATGAACGACTTCCTCAACAAGATAGACAACACCATTTCCGAGTCGCGCAAATATGTGGAGCGCTCCAAGGAGTAAGTTAGACTAAAGTAATAACTCATTGTTGACAGAAAAATAGTTATTCATAGCTTTCAAATTAGATATATTTTTCTAAATCAATTAACACATCAATCACAATATTATATCGTTCAGCTATCAATTATATTTTTATTTTTCACTCTAGAAATCAATCAATTTTAAAGTCTATTAAGTGACAGAATCATGAAGAATATAAGTCAATAAACTTTGAACAATGTTGATTGAACGCGGAAATAAGTACTTGGCTCTATTAGCTTGCACAATGTCAATCCAAAAAATATATATTTTTATATATAATTGTAATAAAATTGTCATATAGTGGTTTGTTCGCTTTTGATCATGGAAAAACAATGCTAAAACTATCAAAATATAATTAATTTACAATTATAAATACGTTTAAAATGCATTTGCTAATGGCTTTCTGATTGCTTTCAGCCTGGTCAACAGTCAGAGTGACGCGGACATCTGCATCAGTGCCACCGCCGACTTCTTCCCGCAGCGCCGTCATCCGCTGAACAACTCCTACAAGACCAACAACAACGACCGTCCGCCGCAGTACCAGCGGCACAGTTCCACGGGCAGCGGGACCTCCTCGGACACGGCGCACCTGCTGAACACGACGCAGACGCGACGCGTGCAGAACTCGCTGAAGCGACTGGAGAAGCAGCAGGACGACTTCTTTGAGTTGTAGCATCCGTCTGCGGTTCGGAATCTAGCCTAATTACGCTGAGAGTTAATTTTACAATTCGTTTTAATTGCCGCGCATCGGGGGAGACGACTTATGTCAGCATGTTACATCACACGGAAATGCCGCACTCTAAATGTAATATAAATAATGATATATATCGACACGTATGCGCGATACCTTACCTATACGATTAAACATAAATGTAACTGAGCTAAAACCTAAACTAAACTAAAAACCTAAACTAAGCGCTGCGCTATGTAAACCTGTAGTACGATGACAAGGCAGTTCTGTCCCCCCTATTTTTTTGATCTTGTGTCAGCCCTGTATAATTGCCGCCAATTTGCTTGCAAGATCCGATCTGATCCGCATCAAACCGATCCGGAAGCCTTCTGTCCTCCTGTCCGCCCCTTCCTGCCCCCCATTATGTTTACTTTTTGTATGACTCTAGCTTTAATCACACTGTGTATAATTTAGTTATGAGAATTATTAATGTTAATTGTATATAGTCGCCAGAAGACACAACAATTCCCCTGGACTGCTCTGACCGCTAAACACGAAATTGGCCAACTGTTGACGTGTAATTATAATTTATTCTTTAGCTTCCAAAGTATTAAAACGCAACTGAAAATAAATACTGTTCTATATAAAACTGTAACCTCAATTGTTAAACAAGCATCCACCACAAAACAATCTAAATATCCCAGAAACCTCAATATCGAACTGCACTCATATCGAGCCAAGTCATGTTGTACGTGAGAATGTTTTATAAAAATAAAGTGAAAGTTGTGTTGGAACAAAAGATGAAGTGTGTCAATGGAGGTATGAACCACAGGAATTCCCTTTGGTGGAGCACGCGCATTACGCGGTTTAAAATAATAATATAACATATAGGGAAGTTCAACCTGTAACTACCGTTGCCAGGACAACTTGGCCGGCACAAACAAATGAAACCCCTTGGTTAGTTAACATTACCATTGTGAAATATAAACGAAAATGTCGGACAAAGATCTGGATGCTATAATCTTGGTGACCCAAAAGGTTTTGGGCAAGTACCTAAAGAAACCACCGCTCACAGAGAAACTGTTGAAGAAACCCCCATTTCGGTTTCTCATGGACGTCTTTAATAACGTAAGTGGTTGAATCCTACCCACACTTCTTTGGTTACTCAAATGAGACTTCTTTATGGACAGTTCATCAAGCAAACAGGCAAGTTTGATGGTTTATATACGCCGGATGAGCAGTTGTTCGAAAACATAGGTAGTAGGGAGGATAAAATACGATACCTGCAGAAGATGATTGATGCCATCAGTGAGTTTGGTTTTATAGAGGTTGTTTCCTTTATTACAGACTGTTTGATTTCCCACAGAGCTTACTACTAAGTTGGACCTCAAAGTGCGCACTTCGAAAATAGTTGCTGGCCAAGAGCCGGAACTCACCAATGAACTTCTGCAGGCGATGGCCAGTGTGGCGGAAAAGAACCTAGAGTGGGATAGTGTTGTGGACCAGGTGGTAATTGCCCACAGCAAAACACCACTTGCCATCACGAAAACACCGAAGGAAACTAAAATTCCCAGCAAAAATTCCTCACCCGCCGGCAAGGAGGAGGATCCAAAGCGACGCAAGGATAAACGCATTTCGCCGCAGGAACAAAAGCTGCGCAAGGCCAGCGATCAGGCATCCCGATCTACTCCCCCAACAGAGAAGGACAAGGCATCTCAGAAGAAGACTAAAGTACCCAAGGATGACTCCAAATTAAGTCGGCAGAGTTCCAAGCAAAAGAGCCCTTCTCCCGTTAAACTAAAGTCCAAAGCCAAGCTGCAGTTATCCACAGAAAGCGATAATGCCAGCATGTCCATTTCGCCAGTGCCAGGAGTAACCAAGCAGTCAGCTCCTGAAACTACTCCACCTAAAGTGGAGCAGGAAACCAAACAGGCTTCTCCCTCAAAGGAAAAGGAGACACCGGCGGAACCTGCCCAGGAAACTCCACCCGCTCCAGCTCCATTGGCTCCGCCAGCAGAGGCAGAGAGTCGCAAATCCTCCGGCAGGAGTCGGCGTTCTAGTGGTAGCCGTAGACAACCAGAGCCTAATCCCACTGAGATCCAACCCCAGCCAGCAGCGCAGTCGTCGGAAAGTAATTCTCCGCCCGGTTCCAACAACAGCGAGGCAAAGCGAGAGATTCCTCTCTCCAGGGAGAACTCCAAAGACTCCAATCAACGACCTAGAACCTCACTTAGACCTCCATCCGCTCGACCCGCCTCCGCGCGTCCTGGAGCTCCACGGCGTCGGAATGTGGAGATCGTACTTCAACCAAACGATCAGGTCAAGATGTCTGGCATCAATGTTAAGTTAGAAACCTTTGGTGACCTGGATGATGATGGGGAGAACCTTGTGATCATAGAAGATGCCAATTCGCATGACATTGTTGAAGGCACTGGATCAGAAGAACCTGTGTTGGAGGGTCAGCTCGATGCTCAGGGACGCTTGGTCCAGCAGATCCTGGAAACCCAAAAGGAGTTGGTTCATCAAAATGCCGAGGTGGAGCCACAACAAAGTCAAGTTGCCCGTCAAAGTTCCGCTCGTCAGGTGAACGACCTGCGCGATGTGATTCAAGGTCTCACAAAGGCGATAAACCCAATGGGAAAACTTCTGGAGTTTATTCCCGAGGACATAGATGCAATGCAGCTGGAGCTGAACATGTGGCGCGAAAGTTACACCCAGGCCTCGATGGAGTTGAAAAGGGAGCGAAGTCTGACTGCATCCGCCACGGAACCCATGAGGCACCAGCTGGAGCAAATCAACGCCAGCATTGACGAATACCGGGAGCTCATCGATGAGAGTCGCCACAAAATCCTGCAGAACAACGCCCGTATCCTCAAGTTGATGATGGAACAGTAAACGTGATGTTTTTATATTTAATAAGAGTTCTATAAAATAGCCATGCATGTATTGCTTGGGTACACTTTTCAATTCAATATATATATAAAATTTATATAATAATATCAAAATATCTTTGATATGCAATACGTTGGTTTCATTCTTTTTGGGTAATTTGTTAATTTGTAAACAGTTCTGGGTAATAAATGGAAGAATTTAACAACAGACGGTAAGTTTCTTTTCTAAGGTCACTTGGTGTTTGAACCGAAACCCCACGCTCTTTTTAAAACTAGTCATCTTAAAAAAATCAAAACGAGCCTTAAAATATTTTTTAAACATCTTCACTGTCGAATTCTAGATTTGAATAATTTGTGCGATAAAACCATGCATATTAAACAATGCATTGAATGCTGAAAAATCAAACTTTTTCTTTTTCGGTTTCCGTTTGGTTTGTTTTTTTCTTTTCTTCTGTAACCGTCTTTTCTTTAGTTTCCGCTGAGACTGTATTTTTTTCAGCTTCCGCTGGTACATCCTTCTTTTCAGCATCACCTGTGATTGTCTCTGGTTCTTCATCCCCTGCAGTTGACTTATCCTCGACATCTTTATCCTTGCCCAAACCATCTTCCTGTTCCTCGTCTCCCAGTACATACTCGATGACATCGTCGATGGGGAAATTGTTGAGCAGTGACTTGATCGAATCGTTGTGAATAACCACGGTGAAGAGCAGTTTGCAATATTCTCGCATGCGGCTGCCATAGTCCAGTTCAGCGTAGTTCTCGCCACCTTTGGTCAAGTCGTGGCCACAGTTCTCGATCACTTTGCAGAGCACCATTTCCTCGGGGGCATTGGGCCAGCCGTATTTCTTTAGAATAGGAGGATCTACCAGCATGTCTATGAGTTTGCCGACGTTCGCTTTAAGCTTTAGATCCTCTTCAGTAAGAATTTCGCCGCTGACCTCATCATCGCTTAGTGTTTCATCCAGATTATCAGCGATGGCAGCAGCCAAGCTGGCGGCCAGGCACTTGCGCTGCTCTTTTTGACCGCCGGTGAGACTTGTGCCTCGTCCTTTTTGCCCTCAGGCTTCACAGGAGCTTCATCCGTCAGCTGCTCTCCCTCGATGGCCCCGTCCAAGGGCAGAATTGTGTAAGTTTCGTTTTCCAATGTAATGGTTTGGGCAGTGCCATCACCCTCGTCAACCAGGAACTCCCGCACTACAACCCCATTGTCATCAGTTTGGCTGGAAATCAAGGAGCCCGCTGAAGTGTTCAGTGCCACCGGTACAACCTCATCCACATCAATTTCAGAGTGTTTTGCCTTCTTTGCACGCTTTGATGGCTGAGGCTCAACGCCGAAAATATCATCTGGATCGCACTCGTGCACTGTGCGAATGTGCCGGCGCAGGGTTTCGCTGCTATCAAAGTTCTTATCGCAAATGGCGCAATCCGTTCGCTCCATAATTTTGATGGCAGATCGCTTGGTGGTCCGTTGTTGTTTTGCTAAAAATAAATGATCAGGATAAATGTCATGACTATAGCTGGTTAGGCCTAGCTTACGGGTGTGTTTGCCCTCGTCCATGTGCTCCTTGAGCAGTGCTGTGGTGCGGAAGCTAGCTTTGCATTCGGTGCAGGAGAAGACGGGGCGTTTTGTGCGCGAGTGACTCTTCACATGGCGCTCAAGTCTGCGTGAGAAAAATTGTATAGGTTTAGGAATAGGTATAGGTTAGTCTATTTGAATACTTACTGCTTCTCAGTTTTGAACTTTTCCTCGCACTGATCGCAGGCAAAGGGGCGAATATGGGTCTTGGAATGGGTGCGCAGCTGAGTGGCCTGGATGAAACTCTTGCCACACTCCTCACACTTGTGTGGTCGCTCACCAGTGTGACGCTTCATGTGACGATTGAGCACTTCCTTGACGGCAAAGGCTTGATTGCACTAAAAAGGAAATATAATTAGGTACATGAAATGCCAGTTTATAAAAAATATAAGAGATTCTCAACTTACCACAGTGCAACTGTAGGGTTTCTCGCCAGTGTGATAGCGTCGATGCTTTTTAAGGGCCACCAAAGCGGAGAACTTCTTGTCGCAAAGATCACAATCAAAGGGTTTCTCTCCGGTGTGGGTGCGTATGTGGATGCTGCGGAAATATACCATATATAAGTTAATTAACTACATATAAAACCCATATTAAACTCACTTAAGCGTTGACAGACTGTAGAAACAGTTCTTGCATGTGTGACACATGTACTCCGGCTTTTTTACCACCTGTGTGCCCAAATGCTGTTTTAGGTGGGATCGCAGGTTGTCCAGGCGATAGAAGACGCGATCACACACCTTGCAGCTCATGGTATCAGTCTCGTTCGACGAACATGATGAGTACTTTTGGTGCCGCTTCAAGTGGTAGGAGCGCGTGAAGTCCTTGCCGCAGATCTTGCAGGCATACGGCTTGCCACGGGACTTGTGCTGTTCCTCGTGGAGCGCTAACAAGGCCTCACTGCGGAGATTGGCGTTGCAGATGGAGCAAGGAAAGTCGCTGAACTCGGAGTGGGTGATGAAGATGTGACGCTCGTAGCTGGTCTGTGTCTTAAACGATTTGGGACAGTCGGGACAGTTGATGTGGCCAAGCTAAAGAATAAATTTCATTTAGTTCTACTGATTAAATATAACAATCTTTCAAACTCACATGAAAGGTGTCGTAACTTTCGCTGCAGCAGAAGCAAATGTCCTTCTTCTCCATCACCACGGCATCCTTCTCGATCTTCTCCAGATTCTTGAGCATGTCGGCCTTGCGCAGATGATAGCCGCTGTCGTAGCGACAGAACTCCAGATGTTTCTTTAGACTTTGAACGCGGCGGAAGGTCTTGTAGCACTTGCCGCAAACGTGCTCAACGATCTCCTTGATCTTTGTGCCATGGCTGGAATTACCCTCGCCGTCTCCATCCTCGTCGCCCTCTTCCTTGTCGTCGTCCTCTTCCTCGGTGACAACGATCTCCTGGCCATTGGTATCCTCAATCCTACCAGGCACCACTTCCTCATCATCTGCTAGAATATAGGCAATGGTCTCCTCATCTTCTTCGGTTGCCACGGTTACCGTGGTGTCTGCCTTGCTGTTTTCCGTTTTCACAGCCTGGAGTACATAGTGCTCCATCTTCTTTCGCTTGTTTGGCGATGTCTTGATCTTTGCTGTTTCCAGAGCTGTTACGGTGGCGCTGGGAATCCTCTTCTCATTGAGAATCTTCACGGTGGAGGAGGTTGGAGTTGGAGTCTTGGGGGCGCCTCTCTTCTCCCCCTTCGGATTGGCTAGTATTTCATCGTTGAGTATTTTGATGCGGGATCCGGTGACACTTCCACGTTTTTCCTGCTTACTCGGGGGAGTTTTCGATGAGCTGGTAGTGGGGCTAGTCTCTGGATCTCCTCCTGCTCCTACGTCGTTCAAGAGCTTCATCCTGGTGGCAGGACGCTGTTTATCCTTGGGCGGTGAAATGTTCTCCACGCCCAGTATCTTGACCTTCTTGTCCTTGCCCTCCTTGGAGGCGCTCATCTCGGAAATGACAGCCTGAAATTAGGTTAAGTTGAAAGAGATGGTCAGGATCAGGATCAATTATCCCCGGGTTAGCCTACTTTTAGGCACGTGATCTATTGAAAATCACATTTTGCCAGCGTCACCAACACACGCCCAAAAGCAGCAAAGAAAAAATGGCGTCACCAATTTCGATCTTTACGATCGATCGCTCGAGTGCGAGCGAGACAACACTACCGCGCCTGACGCACAGAAAACGCAACAAGTTTTCTTCTTAAATAAAATTGTATTTCAGGGGGTTGAAAACAATTCTAATACACACTGAAATCCATTGCATACTTTTTAAATATCTAGTGTTTTTTATACAGCCGAAGGATGAGGCGATTTCAACTGATTTGTATGCTGATTAGACATGCATTTCTTTACTCCACAGCGAAAGAAAGTTGCAGCGATCGAGGCGGAAGCAATAGAAAATGCAGTCACTGGCTAAACTTGTACTTTCACAATCATTTCCATACAATGCACTACGTGTTCTAAGCAGGAATCTGAACTGATCGCCGAAAAACAATCACAATTTACCCAATTTTATGCTTTAAATTCCAACACGACAAGCGTTTGTGTATGATAGGGTATGACCGTTGGTGGAAAGGTGAAGAATAGCAGCCGATCTGTAAAATATACTAAACCGTGAAAATATACCCAAAATGTTCCGGCTTAACCCTTAGCCTTACTAATTCAAAATATAAATGTATAAAATCTAAATAGCAATTAAATTAAAAAACACAGACTACCTTGGGTATGTATGATGTAAAATGTATTTTTTTTATCTGAATTTCCAGAAAATATTGGTTCTGGTAATTATAAAGTGGATCTGATATCTCTAAAACCAATTTAATTAAAAACATCTTTAATTTAATATTAACAATAGTCAATGCAATCGAAGTGCACAAACTAATTATTTAAGGAAATGTTTCTTAATATTCAATTACATATATATGTAATATTTTAAATTTCGGGACAAAAATAACTTAAAAGGGTTAAGCCAAATACGGTATATACTACAAAAGCCGTTGGTATATTTTAGCGGACAACGAACGGTCACATTACCGCTTTCCGCGTAAATAAAAGGTAAATAAAAGCGGAAATAATAGCTAAAATGTAGTAAATTAATAAAAATTAATGGTAATAGAGACCATGACGACTGCCTTTGATGCTGCACACACGGAGGGACCCGGATTCGTGGGCATTCGGTTCTGCCAGGAGTGCAACAACATGTTGTACCCAAAGGAGGACAAGGAGAACAAGATCCTGCTCTACGCCTGCCGGAACTGCGACTACAAACAGGAAGCGGACTCCAACTGCATCTACGTGAACAAGATCATGCACGAAATCGACGAGCTGACGCACATTGTGCCGGACGTGATTTCCGACCCCACGCTGCCGCGCACCGAGGACCACGCCTGTCCCAAGTGCTCCCACCGAGAGGCGGTCTTCTTCCAGGCGCAAACACGTCGCGCCGAAGAGGAAATGCGACTGTACTACGTGTGCACCAACCAGAACTGCACCCACCGATGGACGGAGTAGAAGCAGATGTGCTATACGCCTCTAATTGTAACCCTAAGTAATCAAACCAATATGAAGACACTTTGCAATCACAAATTAAATATTCCCACATGGTCATGCCGCAAAAACATCTCACTTATTGCTCAACACCCGATTGCCGCTCAATGAAATTACAACAGCACAGAAAGAAAAATTGTGAGGTATATAATATGATCACTAGTTAACTACTGAATATGATTTTTGAAAACTTTGGGTTTCAACCTTTTAATTTAATATTTTAAAAAATGGCCAAGTAATCCCACGGAATTTATCGGTATGGCGGTATCGAAAGCCCAATAGAAGGAAGGAAACAATTCTAGCCAGTATACCATCTCGATTTAGCATTATGCACAAACCGAAATGATATACAAAATGTTATTATTAATTCTGTATTCAAAACATGTATACATTCTATAGAAAATGTTATCATTAATTCTGGTTTTATATTTTTTTTTCTGTGTCCAATAGCAATTACAGAAAAATCAAGTCACAGTAAATATTGCTTTGGGGTAACGCAAACCAGTAGTACAGTTAATATTTAAAAAAATGCAATCTATTTTGGTTGCGGACTAATATATGTTTGGAATAATAAAGATGTTTTTATGTTTGAAAGCGCAGATATTCATGAGAAGCGAACAAATAAGTTTTATTAGAATGTTTAGCCGGTTTTCACACATCTTTAAACATCATAAACTTTAAAACCAGCTTTCATAGTTATGACGTTAAGCAAGTAAAAGCGCTTGGTGCCGGTATTCCGAATTTCTACAACACATAGCTACCGATATCTACTGTATTAGTAACTGAGAGGGAAATGAATCTCATCGGAGCGCATGCGAAATTCCATAGTTCGTGGCCCGGTGACAATTTTTCATATTTATCATTGTTCTGTTCTAATCGAAGCTGACAAACACAAAAAATAAAGAACCGAAAGCAGCGAAGAAATGATTGAACAAGTTTCTTGTGCGTATCAAGCGGCTGGCCATTTGAGCGGACTTGGCCCGATCCCCGGAGTCGTCGCTAAGTTTAGTCTGAGCTTAGAACTTGGCGCGACGTGTTGATCAAATCGCTGAAATGTGCTAGAGCAAACCAGCCGAATCGAATAAAAATAAGTGTTAAGAAGAATTCAGAAAGTGATATAAAATGGCAAAGCCAAGGTCGTCGGGGGATGCGGCTCGAAATGGGAACGGAGGACCGGCGGATGCGGAGCCCAAGCTCAACTATTTCCAGAAATTGTGGCGGTACCGCCACTACCTGGTCATCGAGCCCTTCTTCTTTTTCTACTTCATGGCCTCAGTTTTCAATGCGGTAGCCATGCAGAATTTCCCCTTGGACAAGGCCTGTCGTGTGAATCTGGGATACAACAAGGTCGTCTGTGATACAATGCTGGACAAATCCGAGCTGGGCATCGAATGCGATGACTTCGACTTTGAGAACACCACTCAGGGCGCCACTCCGGATCTCGCTGGCTTGGTGATTGGAGCAACTGGATTCAATTATACAGTGTGCAAGGCGGAACTCGAGGCACAGATCCTGGCGGCAGATGTCTCCGGCAAACGTGCCCCTATGGGTAAAAACACATCTATCATATACATAACACGAGTCGTTCATTAAATATACGCCGTTTCGGTTTGAGTTTGGCATTAGCATTGCTTAAATTTCAGGTTTGTGCTTAAATTAAACACGAATTCTTTTCGCATCTCTACTCCTCTGCATATTAAATCTCGCCTACCCCTTTGGATTTATATCTATTGGTGAGGTGCACGGGAAAAAAGTTATAAGATGTGATACATTGCCAATTTGATTGATATAAATCTTCAAGGAATTTTTAAAGAAAATTTTTTGTTCATCATTATTAAGATACAACAGATTGACTTTGTCTGTTGTATAATAATGTTAAATTTTGGATATGGTTGCCTTTTTCTCAGTGTACACATTTTTTTAAAAAGAATCCATGTCTTTTGATGGATGTCGTCGGAAATTAGCGGTTATCCGAACATCTAATTACCTTATTTAATTGATTCGCTCATGAGTTCTCTTTCGTCTTCTGATGGTGCTAACAAAAATTCCCCCATTATATGGTAGGGTGATTAATTTAGAGCCGCTTCTAAAGGCCTTAGCCTAGTGTCTGTAACGTAATCGTAATCGCTACAAACCTGTTCTTTACATCGCTGTGTTTTCGAGTTCACTGCCATTGTCATTGGCATTTCATTGGAACCATAGATAATATTTTATATTCCCAATTTAGCAAAAACGCCATCCGAAAATGTCATTTGCATAGAGAGGTACGCGGAATTCCGGTTCTCTGTCGCACAGAACATCTTCTTGTTTAATAACTCAACAAACGCCAGGTTCATTAAGTTGCATTGCATCAGAGATCGATAATTGAGGCTTAAAATAATTAAAAACGCCGTGTCATAGATTCCACGGTGAAATTTTTTAGTATACGTATTAAAGGTTTTTTTTGTTTAATTGCAAGCTTTGATTCGGTTTATTTTGTTGTGATAACGAGTTCCAACACAAAACAATCTATTAACGCTAAATATTTAAATCATCTTCAAGAAATCTTAATATTAGCAAAAATACAATAGGATTTAAAAAATGGGTCTTTTATATAGAAGAACAATAATAAATAAAAATCTCTTAGCTTCAAGTTAAGAAAGATTAACTTTATGTTCGTGATATAATTGGACATTGAATTAGCAATACCATAATCGAGTTAGTAAAAGTTAGCATCAATACAACTAAATTTATATTTAGCTTCAAATCAAAAATATATTGATATTCTAATCCCAGGTTATAGCATACTATAGTAAATTGCATTGAGAACAATTTTATACCAAAATCTCAGTTGTCAGATTATTTTCAAAAACGAGTTCTTTCTGCCGATTTTTTTGCACGTAAAGTCCAGTTTTTTATTTAAACTCGAATCAAGACAAAACAAATAAAATAATAACACAAAAATGTTTCTTTATAGCTGCCATTTTCCCTCTGATTGTTCTTCTTTTCGCCGGAGGCTGGGCAGATCGATACAATAAACGCAAGCCCTGTATGATAATGCCAATTATCGGAGAAGCTTTGTCCTTCACATGTGAGTAGTTTAACAACATAAATATCAGTATTTTGGTTTAATAAATAATTAATGTTTTAGGTCAGATCATCTCTTCAATTTTCTTTGATTCCCTGCCCATGGAGTTTGGTGCTTATTGTGAAGCTATTGTTCCTGCTCTTTTTGGAGGCTTGACTTTCTGTCTGATGGCCATTTATAGTTATATCACCATTGCCACGCCCGAAGAGGATCGTGTGTTTCGTTTTGGCATATTTGCAATGTTTGTAACCGGAGTTCCATTTATAGGACAACCGATTAGTGGTGTTCTCTTCACTACTTTGGGTTATACTTGTGAGTTTAAATCAACTTTTCCTAGACCAATATATTTTATAGACATAATAGATTTAAAGCAGTGTGATGGAATTTTATTGACTTCGTATTGATCAGTTTTTTACCTTTTTCCAGGGTCTTTTGCAACAGCCATCGTTTTCCAGTTGATCGCGATATTTTACATTATTTTCTTTATTAAAGAGGTGAAGAGCACCCCTTCAACCACTGCCCAACCCAATGAACCACCACCACTGCCCACCACCTTGCCACCCAAGCAACAGGGTGCCGACAACATGGCCTACGAGACGACGAATTTGGATGAACTGCCGGGAAACAAGAACGTTAACTTCCAGCTGACTCCCCATATGGAGCCCAAAGTGGAGGTGGTGCCTCCGAGACGCTCCCTCCTAAAGGAACTCTTCGATCCCACTTTGGTGCTGGACTGCATCCGGTTTCCACTGGTCAAGCGACCCAACAACGGACGCATGCTCCTGATCCTCCTGCTGTGTGCTTACTTCCTGACCGTAGGTCCCACATCGGGCGAAAACGACTATTGGTATCGATTCACGCTGAAAAAGCTCGCCTGGAATGGCAACGACTTCAGTATCTACCTGACCTTGTCCAGTGGTGCCGCCCTGGTGGGCACCTTCATTGGAACCGCCATTCTGAGCAAGTTACTCAAGGTTTCGGATTCGATGATCGGCATGCTTTCCGCCCTGTCCATTGTCTGCTCCCGCGTTCTTTTTGTGAGTACTTAAGTGGATTGTGGATGTTGGATTTTACAATATGAGGGTTTTTTGATTTTTTAGGCTTTCTCCAGCACTACTACCTCATTTTACGTGGCAGGAGTGGTGGACATGTTTGTTAGTTTGCGAGTGATTGCCATCAAGACCATTGGTTCAAGCATCGTGGCTGGAGATGAGCTAAGTAAGTTTATTGTAGTCAAACAAAAATAATTATTTTTGTTAAAAAGTTATTCATGTTTATGGAATTAATTTAGCTTGTAACTTTAAACTATTGCCCATATATTTTTGAACTGTTCTAATGGCTTTTTAAATTTTATAAACTTTTACTTTCAGGCAAAATGTACTCCATCTTTGGCATCAGTGAGCCAATTGCGCAGTTCATCTTCCCGCCCATTTTCAGTGAGATTTACAAAAGCACCGTTGACTCATTCCCAGGTGCTATTTGGTTGTTTGGTGAAATTTTTTATATTCCCAATGTCTTGGTCTTTGTGTAAGTACATTATTAAATTTTAACAAACATTTTTTTTGTAAATAACACCCTTTAAAAATGTAGGGTGTGCTATTTCCTCCTGCGACGTAGAAAGGCCAATGAGGAAAAGAGTGCTGTGGAGTTAGAACAAAATGGAGCCAATGGTGCCAATGGAGCCAATGGTGCCAATGTGCCCGATAGCGAAATAACTAGTCTATAACGTAATTAATGCCAGTCCGTGTTATATATTTTTTATATTTATAATATAAACTGTATATTTTTGTATATTTATAAATGATTTTTATATTTTGCGAATATCCCAGAATTATTTTGCGATTAATTAATGGAAGCCTGTGCATTTACAGATTTATCAGAGCTTACCAGAAAATTTCAATATTTGTGATTAAAGTAATACTAAATTAATGTTAGAAATGTAACTCTTTAACTTAATTATACTCATGACCTTTTGCCTGTGTAATGTATTCTATTTATATATTTTATATTGCATGCTATTTTTGGCAAATCTCTGCAAATCCAATTACCTGAAGCTATAAAAAGGTGAGCCAACTCTGATTCGGACTCTTCACTCCCTTTGGCAATGAGCCCAAATTACTTTTTTCGGGTGGAACAATTTTAGTTTAAGCCTTTGCCTTTTGCCATCCGTTTTGTATGCTTCCTCGGGAAAAGTGGTAGTTTTCCAATCAGCAAATGCATTCAGTTTGAGCAGCCAGCTGGCGCAAAGTGGGCGGACGGGTTGAAGCACGGGGCGTGGCCATATGTGGGCACTAACTGCCGTCTTGAAACAATTGGGTGCTAATAATCCCCGGTTAATCTGAATAAGTGTGTGTTGCTGTGGGCATTGAAGCAAGGATTCTGAAGCAAAGACACATCACGCATCCTTTGGCATCCATCGATATAAAAGCCCGGCGTGGAGCATCAAAGGTTCAGACGCAGCTGTGATTCCAACGCGAAAGGAACGTATCCAGATTTCCGAGTGTCCTGTAAACAGGACCATCTTCTGCAGAAACATGTTGCGCCTCCTGCTGCTGCCGCTCTTCCTCTTCACGTTGTCGATGGCCTGCATGGGGCAGACTTTTCAGTATTCCCGGGGCTGGACAAATGGCAAGAGATCCTTTAACTCTGCATCCCCACTGCTGACCAACGGGCATTTCCATCGGGATCGGGGAAACGAGCTGGGACTCACGGATCTGTACGATATTCAGGATTGGAGCAGCGAACGCAAATTAGAGCGGTAAGTAGAAAACATTGTGGTATCAAAAAAGGTGAAATTAAAAAACCGCATATATCTGTTATTATCGTATATTTAAAGTAAGTTAAATGAGATGCATTACTTAGTTGGTTAACTTTATAACAACAAAATAAGAACTTAAGAAAAACCAAAGTTACTCAAAACTTGAAAACATAAATACAAAGCTTCCCAAAACAGTAATTTTTTAAAGTTAGAAACTAGAAAAACATGTTCAGATTTTGACGCTTTATTCAAAATATATATAAAATAAAAAAGAGGGATGTGAGGGATGTTCGAATTTCAATAGTGATTTGATATTAAATAATAATTTTCTTATAAATGTTGTTTTTCAGATGCCTGTCGCAACTTCAACGTTCAATGATTGGTCGAAATTGTGCCCCTGGATCGGATTTCAATGCCATCCGTGCAGATGCAGATCCTGAAAGCAGCCCCCATCCCAGACTTTCAAACATTAATAACGAAAATGTTTTGTATTCAAATGCCAATATCCCGACTAGACATCGTCAAACAAATGAATTGCTAGAGGAGCTGACTGCCGCTGGTGGAGCTTCTGCTGAGCCCAATGTATTTGGAAAACATTAGCCATTGTCTCATCAGCCGATTGAATGTGAAAAATATTGTTAAACTAGCAAAAAATGCTACAAAAATGTAAAAAAAAAATAGTTATAATCGTTAAATAAATCGGAGGCTTTTTAATAAGTGTCAAAGGTTTGATATTTTTCGAGTGCTAGTTAAGGTGACAAAGCTAAACATCACATTAAATTATTGTTAACACAATCAGTTTCTTGACGTCTATCATTTTTAAAATGGAAAACAGTATCACAGTCTATTGTATAGTATTTTTGCATACTTTGCATAATTAAATATTTTACAAGGAAGCTTTAACCTGTTGTCATTATAACGAATGTATAAAAGGGTTAAAAAGAAAAATAAATAAGAGGTATTTGCTCCTTACAAGATGTAGTATATTTAATCAGAATTTGAAAAAAAAAATTTTATTATATTGTTATTATTATAATATTCAGACTGCAAATTATGAAATGAAATGCGTACTTATATCCTAGATAGGGAGTGGATTTTGTAGTACATAGCTATCCTCCCGGAAAGGAGAATTGTAACACATTTTCACAAGATTGAAGATGAAATCAAGCTGGTCGGTGTTTTAACAAAAACGTTTTATAGAAATCATCCATTTTAAAAACGTAATAAAAGTTTTTTGATTGAATCAAGGGAAAAGTTTTCCGTTTACTTATTTTTATTAATGTTTAACCTTTATCAGTAAATCCTGGTTGAGGATAAGCATTTGAATTGCCGCCCTAAGATTTCGCCTTGCACTGAATATGGCAAATTGACAATAAATGCAATGTTTAACAGAATCCCTTATGATGTGCATAGAAAATTGTTTAATAGATTTAGTTGACATTTAAAGTTTGTTTTGAGATAACTTCACTATATTGTTGTTTCTATGTTTAAAGTTAAAAAAACGATAAAATTGAAATATAATTCTTTCGCATTTATTTTAAAGTATTTTTTACTAACCCTTAAGCAATAAATTTTAACCGTTTTTGGTTGAAATATATTTCTGAGCCGCCATATTTGAATTTCAAGTGATGTCCTATCGTCTTCACGAACCTATCGATATTCTCTTTCCGGTGACTTGTCACGAATTGATAAAAGTACTTAACGGTCGCATGTTATCGAAAGATGTTATCGGCGCACTACTAAGTTTAAAATCAAACGTTTACTAAAATCAAACAAAAAATGTATCTTGTTGTAATTTGGTGAGAGACAACATGCTTAATACTATGTTTTTTAATTTGAAAATTACGTTTGTACTTGTAATGTTGAGTTCTGTCCAAATTAAAATACCTGCAAAAGTAACTGAAAGCTTAGAACAAACTGAGAACCCATTCGGTTCTTACATTAAATTTTCTTTAATTGAGAAGAAACTAAAAAAAATACATATATGTAATATTCAACTTCATAGCCTACAGCGCGCTGTTCCTGTATCGGTTCATCTGTCCCAGCCGAATTCACAGGTCGCTCGTTAATCAAATTGGGTCATAATAAGTGGGCGAAAATTGTTGGATTTTTTTTAATGTCTGTAAATTTGTGTGTGCGGACCTTAGCATACTTCAGCAAAAAAAAGGGTTCGACCACAAAACTATTATCTACCAATTTATCTACTGTTTTTGTGGAACTTTTAGATATTCCACAAAATGGGCGAACTGAATCAATAAGGTGGGTATGGTTGTAAAGTGGAAAGCTTTGATTTCTTGTTTAAGGTTATAAACAAAAACGTTGTGTTAATGTGTCAAGCAAATCACGCTAATTCTATTAAATGAAAAAAGTTTTTTTTTCGAAAAATGTCTAGCAATATGCTCATTTGTAATTTTAAGAATTGAGTACGTTTTTCCTGCAGTAAATTTAGCATTGAAACAGCCTCAAAGATGAAACAAGCTAAGCGAAACTTTTCTGGGATTAGCTGAAATATATATTCAGCAAACTTTTTGACTAACTTCTACTGCTGTTTGATTTCTGTTCTCTTTGCTTAAATGGTCCGTAACTTGATTTAATAGAAGGGCTTCGAAGAATAATCCGCCTTATTTTGACTGCGGTGTAAGTCGCGATTCAAAGGAGATCCAGCTGGAAGCCAAATATAGTGGTTAAAAAAGCCGAGAGAACACTGTTAATTAAATTTTGTATTAGAGGTGTGATTTCCTACTTTAATATTCAATAAAGCGACTGTCGCCATTAAGACGTTCCTAATTATTAATGACTTAACTTGACCGACACCAAGTTCCTTGACACTCACACAATCGTCTAATCATGTATAATTGGATGAAACCATCGGTTGCCCATAACAAGGATAATTGGATGAAATGAGGATGAAAGGCGGGCTGCCTTTTCTGCTCCTCATTAAGTGCCCGTTTACCGTTTAGTCGCCTGTCAAATCGTCGGTGGGTTATTAAAGAAAGGGGTGTCAAGAGACGAGTTCTTGAGTCATTGACTTATTACGCAAATAGGACAAAAGAATTTCTGGGCCGCGAGTTGCTGCGTGGGAGGGTGTTACTGTAGGCGCTTGAGTGGGGATTGAACTCTGTGCTTAATTTAATAAACAGAATAACGAGAGTCCGAAGAGTGCTAAAAGTATTTAATAGACTTATCATAAACCTTTAACAATGACTTCTCTGGGAGAATATACGATAAGGATAATGGATTCGTTTAGTAGGAATTTCTCTTTGTTGACTTGGAGTACGAGTATAATATATAGGTACAAATAGTTAGGACATATTTATAGTTACAGTTGAGGAAGGAAATTGTACAAAATTAAATGCAGGTGCTTGAGTGGGGTGGAACTCTGTGCTTAATTTAATAAACAGAAAATTGAGAGTCCGAAGAGTGCGAAAAGTATTTAATAGATTTATTATAAACCTTTAACAATGACCTTCCTAAGAGAATATACGATAGGGATAATGGGAATCAATAAGTAGGAAATTTTCTTTGTTTACTTGGAATATTTTATTGAATTATATATCTTTAAGATATCATTTTTCTCATTGGTTTAAAGAGAATACAAGTCCTTGGCTAAAATGTACCAATATAGATAGTTAAGTATATGAAAAAAGGTTTCGCAAATAAGGGCGTGTATTTTGTTATTGCTTTGGTTACTATTTAATGGTAAAACTTCCATAAGTTGGTAAGGTGTGTGTACTTCTTGTTAAGAAACTAACTAATTCGTTGGTCAAATAGACAATTGGATCAGTTGGGATCATTTAAGTATTATATAGGTTAATTTTACCCAAATGTATGTGGCTATTATAGAGATAGTTGACGAAGTAAAATGTAAAACATTAAAAGTAAATTATCAATTTCCACCATCGCCTCTTAAAAAACGCTCTCACTGTCGATAACATTACCGCTCGCATAAAAGTGAGTGGCGGGAGTAGCATTTTGACGGAATTCAATCAGCCATAAAGCATCCTGCTGGGCAGGAAATGGAGGCGTTTGCCTACGTGCTTAATTACAAGCCGACACATGAACATTTCGCATACATAAAAACCCGAAGACACGTGTTGAAAGCAATTAAAAAGTATGTCAAAGTGGGTGATCAACGGCCCCAAGGACGAAGGACAATTGTGATGGCTGGCAACACTGTTGCATTTAAGTGTTTTATGGGGAAACTAAACTAGTTAGTGGTAGTACGGGTGCCGAAATATGATGACTTTATAATTTAGATTGCATAACTTATGTTTATCAGAAAATTAAAATGTTCAAAACAAACTATAAACCATCTTAATTAAATCTAGGTACCGCTTTTTTTGACTACCTACTCTTTTTAATCGAAAAAGTAAATTGGGTTGAGTTTTTATGGATTCATCCTAAAATATAATCGTATTAAATATAATCGTATTGCGGCTTAAACATGCTGAACTACAATTATAATCACTCAATAGCCATAAAAGAATGTAAATGTAAGCAAGTTGTTATATTATATACATACAATTCAATAAAGTCCATCATTCTTAAGTTTACTGAAGTTGTTCTAATATAGAACCATATGCTACGTTATCAATGTTGAGAAGTTATTTATAAAGTGACACCTATTACTGAGGATAAGTAATCGCAATCACTCGCAGTTCTTTCCATACTATTAGAGTTACATTGGCAATAAAAATGGATTTCTTCAAGAATAAGAACGAAAAACCCCTCCTGAGCAAGGGACCTCCTGGGTCGAACCCATCTCCAGGCTCGAAACCCCATGGTTAAAGTTTGATGGATTTATGGCGAGCAATTTTACGCCCGATTGCCGGCCAAGCGGAATGTCGGCCCACGTTAGCACCTCTTGACGTGACATTGAGTGCTCCTGGGATCCTCGTCAAACGGATGCTGGCGACTGGTTTTAAATCGAACAATTAATGTGCAAATAAAACTCATTAAATATTAATTGAGTTCGATAATTACAGCGATGCCGGTGCCACGCAACATGTTGCTGAAACACCTGAATGGCGGGTTCGGGTTAGGTCAACCCACCAATCCCCGCATCAATCCGTCAATTTCCTAATGCTTTAGTACACCTTGGTGATTTATTAGGGGGTTTGGTTTGGTTTGGCCTGGTCTAACCCGCGCGTTCTGACCCGCCTCATCTGATTCGATTTCCATCATCCTGGCAACATGCCGTGCCCGCACGTTTTCATTCATAACTCGTCGCGTGGCTTGCCATATCCTTCGTCCTGGCAGCCTTCGTGTCCTTCGTGCGAGTCCTTTCGGTTCCGGCACTTCGTGTGGCCGCTTCGGGGTGCCTAATATAAAAACACGCCGTAATCGCTATACTCCGTGAGTCCTCCGCTCGTCGTCAGCCTGTTGCGTTCGAAAAAGCAGCAAGAGCTCCATCTCAAAACTCAGCAGCAACAGTTTCAGATTCAGATTTCGGTTCCGAATCCAGTAACCGTTTCGCGACGCGACGCGTGAATACATAAAATAAATTAGAAAAAGATAAACAGGCCACAAACAAGACGAACGAAACGAAATATCTCGATCGTCATAAATCAATCCGTCGAGTGTGTTTTTAGATCCAACGAAATTAGAGGCAATTACCACTGATAAGGTGATTTCTTTTATGTGACAATATTTCGAATAAACGGCGTCTTATGCTTTTGAGTGGGTGTTTATTTGGCTTTCTCGCCAAACCATATCAGATTTCAAATTTCTGAGAAAAACTTTGGCAAGTTGTATCCCTTAGGTTGATTGATTGCTTAAAAAACGTTTAAGCTAATTAGTTTTGCTTTTTATGTGTGGAAAAGACATTGTTGCCGCCGGTTTCAGGTAACAATATCCGTAACTTAATGGACTGCAAACAAGCTTAAAGAAAGTTGTTATTTTTGGTTTTCCTGACAGCGTCGGGAATCACACCTTGTAATTTGCAGGGAATGATGGTTTCTTTTACCACGGGGAACCTACATTCCCGATTGATTGACCTTTTTGTTGAGATTTTTTTATGGCCTAATCAAATCGGATTTACGGTTTTTAAAGCTGCGGAAAACCAGATAAACCAGACAACTTTTCTCCCTTGTGCTTTACACATACTCGTATTTGCATAAAGCGTATGCAAATAAATATCTCAAGTTGGCATAGATAACAGGATTTCATTTCCTTGTGTTTAGGCCGGGACTTTTGAATTGCCGATACGATAAAACAAGAAGGGACTTGCTGGCAAGTAGCCCTGGGCAATCACGATTTCCGTCTCCGGTTCTGAGGATATGACAATGCCTGACAGCAGCACAATCCTCAGTGGGGCAGGGCAGTTTTATTGCCCTGAATTCTATATTACTTCCAGAAAATCAATATTTGTTCAACTTCAAATGTAGGAATTCCGTTCATTAAGACGTCTCTTCTGGGAAAACTTTGGAATCAGGACTCTGGTAAGGCTTCATCTTCATTCGTTCGCTAGACTTCGCGAGACCCCGAAACCCTAACTCTAATTCAATTGGATTGCAATTTCCGTTGCAACTTCGTCGGTGGCTGGGAACCTTTCACATTTCAACAGCGTTTACGCGATCTATTAGGGGAAATCAATAGCCATCAATTGTCGTTGCCAAAGTGCCGCAGCCACCCACAAATTTCATCCTGATTCGGTTTTGGATTCGCATGCGGATTCGTAAATCCCTGTTCAGCAAATGGCATCTATATGACATGTGATTGCCGGCAGGACTAATTCGGCTGCCATTTCAGCACTTACTTACAGCTGATGTCTAATGCTCCTGCTGACAGGTGGGATTTGAGTTTGTCCCCCAACCGAAAACAAAGGAGCTGCCATTTGAATGGCAGAACTTTGAATTCCTGCTAAAATTCTGAAAATTCATGCTTTCACTTTTGAAACAATGTGTAAATTTCAGTCTCAAAGAGATTGTAATTCTGAAATGGTTTTATTACGCAAAAGCAATTTATGCTGAAGGCTAACTTTGCAGAATTATAAAATATTTACCACTGAGCTGTAAGATGGTTAAGGCTAATTTTGAGTAATAGCGAAATTCGAGCTATGGGTGTTAGAACTTTGAGTTATGCACACAAAGTTTCGCTACTAAAGCAATTGTTACTTAATTCTGTTAGTAACACAAAGTTAGTTTGGTTAGAGAAGTTTGGGCTTTGAGCACAATGGTTGCATTTTACATTGTGTCGGTGTGGTAAAACAAAAGTGAAACTTTAACCTATTTTATACAATTAAAATGCCCCAGTTCATGGAGGGCTTATAATGCAAAACATGAAAAACTATGAGAGAGCTAAAAAATTAGGGGCAAAAAACATTTTTTCATTCTATTTATTTAATTATCATGGTGCTAAAATCTTCCTCTAAATGGATTGCGTTTTTTTGCATACCTTAGCTTAAGGTATTTCCATTTTCTTCTTAAGTTTGCAAAGGAAAGGATCGTGTTTTTAATCAATCAGTCGATATACACGTCTTATATTACAAATAAGAAAGCTAAAGGTGTCTAAATACCATTTTGACCAAAGGCTATAAAGTTCTTCCAACAACTTTAACAGAATATAAACTTCGGCCTGCAAAACTTAACTACCTTTCTCGTTTTTGAACTAAAGCTTGCCGTTGATGATTTGAACTTTGCAACAGGAAAATAATCTAGTTGTCGACGTCTTCAATTTAAAACCTAATTTCCTTTCTGAACCTTGTGCAAATTTGAACTCAGTTCCCGCTGTGCACTGATTGAAGAGTCCAAAGGGACATGAGATTGATATGCATATTCGTATATATAGTACATACATAAAAAAAACTAGGTTCAGAAGTACCACATATTTACGTGACCCATAAATTATGAGAACACTTCTTGTTGTCAGAATATTTCGCATTTTTCACAGGTTAGCTGTCAGCATTTTATTTTCGCTCTTTTCCACAGGGATTTCTAACGGCAGAGGTCAAAGTTTGCCATGGGTATGAAAATTTTAAAAAATAATAGCCACAGATAAGCTTAATTTTTCATAAAAGTTAAAAGAGAAAAATAATAAAATGGTGTGGCCTTTAGGATACCCATCATATATTTCATATTTATAAAGCTTGTGTGTGTACTGTACTTTCAACAAAAAATATAAACCAAATTAGTAGTTGAAAAGAGGCTTAATAGGGTGTTCTGTAAGCGATAGAAAAAATCCTATAACAATATTTACATTCTCGATTAATTTTGATAAATACCATATGCGATTTTTGTAGCACTCAATTTGCATTACATGCAAATCTGTAAATTGTGCACTCACCCATGGAACTCTACCGTTTTTCTCCATTTCGCAGAATGATGAAAGCCACAGCGTGGTTTTGTCCGGTGTTATTAACTTTACTGTGCGCCACAAGGCTCGTCTGCACGGCCCAAAGAGGAGGAGGAGCGGGATCGGGATTGGGATCGGGAGCGGAGGTCGTCGGAAGCGGCCGCACAAACGGATATCCTCTGGACTACCCCGATGCACGGAACACACAGGTGGGCATTCGCATCCACATCCACGTCTACATCCACATCCACGTCTACATCCACATCCACATCCACATTTACGTCCACTTTCACGTCCTCTTCCACATCCACATCCACATCACAGTGCATTTCTTTCTGGCCGTCGCTCTTTGTGAGTGGCAGCAGTTTTTGCGTCACTCGGCTGAATGTTTCCCGAATGCATATTCAATTATTGGCTCTGCATTTTTCGAGTAGCCGCACTCATAGCTCCTTTGACACCCGTCATTGGTTTCTGTTCATAAATTGACACATTGGTGGTTACAACATGAGACCTTTTCAAGAACAGAACAAAAGTGACCGCAATGTGTCTTTAAACAAACAGATTAACAATCATTTCATATAGCTATTATGCGGCAAATATCAATAATATGTTGAAGGTTGAGATAACCGAAATATGCTAGCCCCAAGGTAATGAAATAATCAAGTAGTAAATTAGTTTTCCTATTTCCTCATAGTCAACAAAGTGGTAGACATAAATAGAAGATTACTAATGGTAGTGTTGTAATGGCTAGTTGCGCCTTTGCCTTAGGACTTTTATAGCTTTCCTATTTACTCATTGCCAACTAAGTGGTAAACATAAATATAAGATTATTAATGGTAATGTAATAATAGTTAATTGCGCCTTTGCCTTGAGACTTTTAGAGTAGTTGCAAATCATGATTTTTCGTTTCAAGAAATCACATAACACTTAACATGTCAACTCCCCAAAATCGCTAATATATCAACTATAAGATTAAATCAGCATTCTGGTATAATCTAATCGAGGTACTTAAACAGTGTGAAATACCTCAATGTGAAACTGGTTCTGGTTCTATGTTCTTTGACACACACGAACTTGGCAACAAAATTGATTGGAATCCATGGTCTATTTTAAAACAAATGGAAATTATCTTCATACCTTTGGTCCAAGCGTCATTAGAAGAAAACAAAAAGAAGAAAAACATTATATTTGACTTTGACAACTCCTGTTGTCCACAATCAAAAGTTTCACCTCTGCTTTTTCAGAAGTTCGAATTTCGTAAAGTCGATTCCTTATTCTGCGCAATTTAAATGCGAGGCAAGTTCGTTTGAGCAACTGGAGATTTAAGCACGTTAATGCGACCCACGTAAACAATTTAATTTTATTTGCTGAAAGAAATGATTTTTTATGATTGGGCAGCTTTGAAAAAACCAGCCTCGGGGCCACGCTTTAAGCCAATTACGAAATTTCCCATTTGTACCACCATGTATGACACATCATTAACCACAAAACATACATATATGTTATGTACAACAGTACATATGTTTCGATAAGGGTCGATTTGCCAACTAATCAGTCAAGTAGCGATATATTGATTGATGTTTGTACGTCAATCAATCAGTTTATCAACGGGACACAATGGTTAAACAACCAGAAAAGCAGCCAACTAACAATATTGTCATGGTCCCGAAATCGAAAGTTCAATTATGTGATAAGCATTAAAAGCCTTTAGAGCCTTAAACTTTTGAGTACTGCAGTAAAAATAAACGTGTCAGGGCTTTGAGTTGTTTTTGGGGAGTTTTTATTATTCAGATTGTAAAAACTATAAATGTAAATGACGAATGCGTGACTTCATAACACGATGTTGCTTCATGAGGTTTCAATCCTAATCCTACAAATGGTTTCACGTGGTTGTTTGCCAAACACGGTTAATAATTTAGCTATAACAGTTTAATAATTGCATTATAGTTCGTTTTCAAATTCTTTCAAACGACTTTTGAGAAAATGCACTAGCAACCTTTGGCATTAACAAACTAACTTTCTAAGCCGCTGAAGAATCAGTCGTCGAGTCCTGAGGCTCTTCGGATGCCTGAGTGGTGGAGTCCTCGGAGTCGGTGGTGGATTCTTCCGGTTCCTGGGTGGTAGAGTCCTCGGGAACTTCAGGGGCAAGAGTAGTCACTTCAGAAGAACCACTGCCGTCTTCGGAGTCGGTGGTGGATTCTTCCGGCTCCTGTGTGGTAGAATCCTCTGGATCCTCAGGAGCCTGAGTGGTTTCATTAGAAGAACCGCTGCCGTCTTCGGAGTCGGTGGTGGATTCTTCGGGGTTCTGGGTGGTGGAATCCTCTGGGTCCTCAGGAGCCTGAGTGGTTTCATTAGAAGAACCGCTGCCGTCTTCGGAGTCGGTTGTGGATTCTTCCGGTTCCTGGGTGGTGGAATCCTCTGGGTCCTCAGGAGCCTGAGTGGTTTCATTAGAAGAACCGCTGCCGTCCTCGGAGTCGGTTGTGGACTCTTCCGGTTCCTGGGTGGTAGAGTCCTCGGGAACTTCAGGGGCAAGAGTGGTCACTTGGGAAGAACCGCTGCCGTCTTCGGAGTCGGTGGTAGATTCTTCCGGTTCTTGTGTGGTGGTATCCTCTGGAGCCTGAGTGGTTTCATCAGAAGAACCGCTGCCGTCTTCGGAATCGGTGGTGGTTTCGTCAGGTTCCTGGGTGGTAGATTCCTCGGGAACTTCAGGAGCCTGAGTGGTTTCATCAGAAGAGCCGCTACCGTCATCGGAGTCTGTAGTAGTTTCTTCTGGTCCCTGAGTTGTAGAATCTTCAGAATCTGCGGGAGCCTGAGTGGTTTCCTCAGAGCCGCTACCGTCTTCGGAGTCAGTGGTGACTTCCTCTGGAGCCTGGGAGGTGGATTCTTCCGGAACTTCAGGGGCCAAAGTAGTCTCTTCCGTAGAACCGCTTCCTTCCTCAGAGCCGGTGGTGATTTCCTCTGGTGCCTGGGTGGTAGAATCTTCTGGAACTTCGGTCACAGCAGTTGTGGATGCAACATCATCTTCGGGCAGATCCGTAGTTGGGGGTGGTGGAGGTGGTGGTGGATGATGACCTCCATGGCCGTGATCATGACCATGACCATTACCATGGCCATTACCATGACCATTACCATGACCATTACCATGACCATGATTGTTTCCGTGTCCATGGTCATGGTTATTTTCGTTCGATTGCCCATGGCCATGGTTATTTCCGTTCCACTGTCCGTGACCATTTCCGCCATTCCACTGACCCTGAGCCTGTCCATTTCCATGGCCATTCCACTGATTCTGACCATTCCACTTTTGCTCTTGCACATTCTGGCTGTCATCGGATCCCCAGCCAAACGTCTTGGCCCAACTGCCTCCCAAATTTCCGAACCATCCGCCGTTCGGCCGGCCAACTGCCACTGCAACCAAGGCAGTGAATAGGACTAAAGTTAGAACCTTCATTTTGCAAATGTTTCGAATATACTAACTGGGTCCACCAGCGGCTATAGCTTTTATAGAAGTCCGATAACCACCTCATTACCTTCCAGACATTGCGACCACTACCATACATGCGAACTTTCTTATCTAATCGCTAACATGTCTGATAGTCAGACCTACAATAATCGTAATTATCATATTTATCTGAACATGAATTCGGGAATTGCTTGTTTACCATTGGCTTTGAACTTAGACATGTAAATAGCTACTTCTTAGAATAAACACAAAACAAATTGTTAAAAATTTTCCCAAGAAACAACCATAAACACTGTCTAGATTAGGTAGAAATTTCGCTTGGTATCTTTATAATCTAGGCAAATCCAAAATCGTTTTATAATGACTATACATGAGGAAAAGAAATGGTACTATGCTTTGTCATGCGGTATTATAAAATCACAGTATCAGGTGCTTTCTAGCTGATAGAATAGCAATTGAATTTAATTAGTTTTTAGCTATGATTCATGAATTTGCTTGAAAATTTCTTTCTTATCAGTGAAGAGCTGTTATCGCGAAATTTCCGATTGATCATCATGGAAAAAACGTATAACAATACCGATAAGGTTCCTAGATTTTTTGAAGTGATAATTTCCCCCATGTGGGTAAAACAAAAGGTGATATAATGTTTCTAATAGCGACCGGCCCTTAAGATAACCCACCATCGATGCCAATAATCTGGCGAAATATTTTAATTTACCATCAAAACAAAAAAAATTAAATTCAATAATGTGGAAAAAACAAAAGGCCCTTAAGATTACGCACCATCAATGCCAATAGTCTGGCAAAATATTTTAATTTACCATCAAAACAAAAAAAAAATTTGACCTTGTGGGAAAAACAAAAGGTTTTATAATGTTTCTGAAAGCGACCGGCCCTTAAGATAACCCACCATCGATGCCAATAACCTGGCGATATATTTGAGTTTACCGTCAAAACAAAAAATAAACTCGACCTTGTGAAAAACAAAGGTTTTATAATGTTGCTGATAACGACCAGCCCTTGAGACTATGCACCATCGATGCCAATAATCAGGCGAAATATTTTAATTTACCTTCAAAACAAAAAAATAAACTTAGAACGCAAAACTGTATATAAAACTGACTTAAAACTTTTTGCATTACCTCGTCAGGGTTTTATTATGCCAAGTTTGCAGTAAATGTAAATGTGTGTACTATACCTGTCTGTATATTTCTCCCCCATCTAGGATGACTTTCTGCTGGCCAAGAGAAACAAACCATCGCTGTCCATTGTCAATCCCCTGGATGTTCTGCGTCAGCGCCTTCTGCTGGAAATCGCACGGAGGCAAATGAAGGAGAACTCCCGCCAGGTGAGTTTGTGTTTCGTAATAAACGCGCCACACTGACCACTTTGCAAGGTATTTTTAATAAGCTGAAAAGTAAGAAAAGAAAAACTTTGCCCTTAAGACAAACGGAAAACAATTCCCGCTAAAATGCTGTCTTAAGTGGAAAGAGTAATTCGGTGCAAAAGTATAAATGAAAATGTTGCGGCTAATCAAAACTAGAATGCCTAATGAAAAATACTTTCCGAAACCCCATAAAAAAGCGCAGCTGCAGAAAGTTTTTTAATTCATCGTAAGAAGAGAAGGCAATAAATATTCCAGGGACTAGAATAGAAGGCTCCACGGGCCCACATACTTGCACCAGGAATGTAAACAACATCCTGGCGAACCCGAAAACAGGGCTTAAGCACTTCGGATGGCCCTGACACCCAGTATCCTGACATATACATACATGCAGCCATAAGGCCCAGCGCCAAAACAAAGCCAACGCTGCGTATGTGTAACACAAATATTTTGGCTCGGTAACAAAGCGAGTTTATTTGGTTACCAAACGTTGCGTTTCGACCCCAAGGCACACACAAAGACAAAAAACAAAAAAAAAAGAAAGGATGGAAAAAAATCAAACGTTTTAATGCGAGGAATTCAAACGATTTGCCTTGATAACCTCACCTTTCCTCCCACGAATTTGTGTTAAAGAGGGTCATGGATGAACATGGATGTGCCTATCTACCTATTCACACACGCCAGATAACATTATTGATTTGTCAAAGGGGTTTTATAAATTAATCCATGCATCCCAAAAGCAATTTGAATCGTTGAAAGAAGAGCTAAACAGGTATAATATTCTATGCATACACCTGGGACTTAAAGTCTCCAGCAATGGAACTGGCAAATAAAAGGGAAATAGAATATATATATTGAGTTTAAAATCGAATATCATTTCAAGTAATTTAAAATTGCAAATAAAGAGCTAACTCAGTCTTTTATATTCTGAACAGACATTCGACAGTTTAATTTGAATGCCAAATGAATGGAATCGACATATTTATTCACAGCTTGAAGGAAATAGATCACATTTGGGTTCGACTCCATTTTCAACAGATGCCAACCGTTTTTCAAATAGCAAAAAATGAAAATGTCACTTGAATTTGAGAGCAGGACATTAAACAGACTCTTTAAAAGTCCTGCAAAGTGGTTGGCAAACAGAAGGAAATTTAAATAAATATTGAGGCACTAAAGGAATGCAGTTTTCAAGGTGTTAAACTGCAAGATTGCATTTGCCTAGACTTAATAGGATTAGGAATATCTCAAAGATACATTTTCATAAAAGCTCTGTTGCACATGAAGCAACAATTAATCACCTTGCTGTTAAATATTAAAATGACTTCGAAACAAACACCTGTGACTCGAAATATTCTGCAAAGTGGTTAGCAAATTTAAAGGAAACTGTGGCTTTAAAAGAATGATTTTAAGTTTGGTATCCAACGGATGCAAAGTGTTCAATTGTAAATGTGATATGTCCTCATGCTCAATTAATGAAATATCGCAATGACATTTGATTTGCGAACCAAATTGAAACGTTAACTACATTGCCAATGTGGTCATCCATCATGCATGTCAATCTAGTTTAGCTTTTTCCTTCAGAAGGAGGGTACATTTCCCTAGAGAAATGGGGAATGGGGGGTTGCTCCGACTTCCCCCTGCAATTTGTCAACCATTTTACAGCATTTTATGGGAACCCAACTGCTTTTCTCGTTTCTCAACCAGGTTGAACTGAACCGCGCCATCCTAAAGAACGTCGGCAAACGATTCCTGCTGCGAGGAGCAGGTTCTCCAAAGGTGAGCAGGCGGTACCGCCAGCAGTGGCCAGTGGAGCGGGAACCGGAGCGGGATGGAGCTGGGACCGAGGAACTGCAGCTGGACCGGCAACAGCTGCTGCCCTGGAAGCATTTCCCCAGCCAACTGTGGAGCTACGGATGGGCCCAGTCCCCATCGTACTCTCCATCGTCACAGTTTGCGGATGCCCTGCAATCAGCCTCCACTCGACCACAATCCCAGGAACAGGCGCAGGCACTCCCGGGTCAGAAGGCAGCCGTGCTCAGCTATGCGAAGAAATCTCTGGACGTGGCCGGAATGGGTCTAACCAGCCATCGGGTCAACGGAAATGAAGCCAACGAAACAAATCATGAACAAGGCAATGGGAACGGGAACGGGATTGGGTATGGCAATGGAAATGGGTATGGTATTGAAACTGAAAATGACGATGGCAATGGGGCCAGTAAAAACCCGGCGAGATATGTGGATGACGATGAGGAGAACTACAATGACGTGGGACCGGAGGGAGTGGGATTGGGCGTGGGTGTGGGACTGGGATTGGGTCTGGAGCGGTTCGAAGTGTTCGAGGACAAGCCCAACTGGGGAAACGAGGAGCTGGTGACCCCTGGTGGTGGCGGAGTTCGAGGTGTGGCCAATGCAAATGACCGAATGCCCTGGTCCTATCCTTACCGCTTTCACAAGAGTCAGCATAATGTTAATTAAGTAAGTGAGGATTGAGATGCAAGTATATAGATAAACGATAAACACACTACTGATACAGATACAGATACTGATACAGATATATGTAATACCGATACGGATACGGATACGGATAGGGGCACCCAACTTCGTAGTGCTAGACGGTTATTAATGCAAATCGACGGTTCCTAATGGCTGGCTACAAGGCAGGCATGTTGTGTGTGCACATACTCCTTGATGACAAAGACAAACTTACTCCCACGTTGCTAGATGTATTCGCATTTGAACTCTATTTTATCGAAAATAACCAACGGTGTATGTAACGATTTATGCTACCTCTCTCACAGATACTGTTGAAAATAAAGCCCCCGAATTAATGTCAAACATACTTTACTAGATCGAAATCGAAAAACAAACACCTTTTTGCTAATACACCGAAGCTATAGCGAAGAAAACTCTAAACGTATATGCATGCGTAATTGATAGTGATCTATGTGTAATTTTAATAATTATTTTTTAACGATTAACGTTAATTAATCAATCGCATGCAATATTGACCTGTCGAATGGGATTTCAAGTGTTTTTATTAATGGTGTTTACTAACTACATACTTACTGCTAAAAAATGAATTGTGGTTTATATTCTCCGCGGGCGGAAATCGGTTTTTATGTTTGCTCTGCTTAAACTTGTGTAAAAAATGCTCAAATAGAATAGACATACCCACTATTTACACGCTCTGTTTTCGTTGAAGCTGCATTTGGTCACTATTACATTTGCGTTGTTGAAGGGTTCAAGTTTTAAGATATTAAGAGACACACATGGTTCCAAATCATACGAATTACGAATAACGAATAACGATTTTAAAGTAGATCAAAATCAGCCCTATTACCCAAGCAAGTACTTCGATACATGAATACGCCACGTTTTGTGTAAATTAACAAGGAATTTACCCAGCAAATTAACCATTTAAAAGTTACGTTCTGTACATTAATAAATTTAATACAAATTAATTTCCCTATGTGTATGTAAATAAAAATCCTTTTTCAGAAAAGCTAAACTAATGAAATTCCAAAAAAAAGAAATCAAACGAATTATATATTATACAAAATTATATGTATGTACGGATATACTTATTAAAAAAAAAGAAAAAATAAAATCATGAGGCATTGACATGACATTCAATTA